GGGGAGATTGCGGGGGGGGGTTTGGGGGGACACGAAACGGTGCCACCGCTCCCCAAAACCCGTCCCGCACCCCGGTTCGCTGCGGAGGGGCGGCCGTGGCGGGGGGGGCCGTGCCCCGAGCGGAATGGCGTGCCGTGCCGTGCCGGAGGAGCCGTGCGGCGCTGGGCAGCCGCAGCGTGCCAGGGCGCTCTGCCGTGGCCCACGGCTCTGCCAGATAACCCGGCCGGGCCGGAATGCCGTGCTGGGCCGGGCCGGAGAGCTGTGCCAGAGATCTGTGCTTGGCCATGCCGGAGAGCTGTGCTGTGCCAGAGAGCTATGCCATGCCAGAGGGCCGTGCTGTGCCAGATAGCCATGCCATGCCAGAGAGCCATGCAGTGCCGTGCCGGAGAGCTGTGCCGTGCCAGAGAGCCGTGCTGTGCCAGATAGCCATGCCGTGCCGTGCTGGAGAGCTGTGCCATGCCGGAGGCCCATGCAGTGCCAGATAGCCATGCCGTGCCATGCCAGAGAGCTGTGCCGTGCCAGAGATCTGTGCCATGCCGGAGAGCTGTGCCATGCCAGAGAGCCATGTGGTGCCAGATAGTTGTGCCGTGCCGTGCCGGAGAGCTGTGCCATGCTGGAGGGCCATGCTGTGCCGTGCCGGAGAGCCATGCCGTGCCGGAGAGCCATGCGGTGCCAGATAGCTGTGCTGTGCCGTGCCGGAGAGCCGTGCCGTGCTGGAGGGCCATGCTGTGCCAGAGAGCCGTGCCATACCATGCCATGTCAGAGAGCCATGGGGTGCCAGATAGTTGTGCTGTGCCGTGCCGGAGACCCATGCTGTGCCGGAGAACCATGCCATGCCATGCCAGAGAGGTGTGCCAGAGAGCCATGCGGTGCCAGATAGCCATGCCGTGCCATGTCAGATAGCTGTGCTGTGCCAGAGAGCCGTGACATGCCAGAGAGCTGTGCCATATAGGTGTGCTGTGCCATATAGCCGTGCTGTGCCAGAGAGCCGTGCTGTGCCCTGGCTGGTAGCCGTGCCGGATAGCCATGCGGGAAAGCCATGCCGTGTTGGATTACGGTGCCGGATAGCCCTGCCATGCCGCGTAGCTGTGCCAGGTGGCTGTGCCATGCCGGATAGCCGTGGCTGGTAGCCGTGCCATGCTGGATAGCCATGCTGTGCCGTATAGCTGTGCCATGCTGTGCCAGAGAGCCGTGCTGTGCCATGCCCAGTAGCTGTGCCGCGCTGCGTGGCCGAGCTGTGCCGGGCCATGCCATGCCAGGCCACGTCCCTGTGCCAAAACCCCATGCCGTGTGGCTGTGCCGGGTCAGAAAGGCGTTTGGAATGGCCGTGCCTGGTGACTGCGGGGCTGGAGAGCGGGGCCGCGGTGGGCGGTTGTGCCAGGACAGGCAGGGAAGGGGGATCGCTGTGCCGGAGCGCCGTGCCGGAGAGCCATGCCATGCCATGTGGCCATGCCAGATAGCTGTGCCATGCCGTGTAGCCGTGCCGGAGAGCCATGCCATGCCATGTGGCCATGCCAGATAGCTGTGCCATGCCGTGTAGCCGTGCCAGATAGCTGTGCCATGCCGTGCTGGGCCGGAGAGCCATGCCATGTGGGATCACTGTGCCAGATAACCGTGCCATGCCGGATAGCCGTGGCTGGTAGCCGTGCCATGCCAGGTAGCCATGTGGGAAAGCCATGCCGTGTTGGATAGCCGTGCCAGATTGCCGTGCCATGCCGTGTAGCCATGCCATGCCGTGTAGCCGTGCCACATGGCTGTGCCATGCCGGATAGCCATGGCTGGTAGCCGTGCCATGCCAGATAGCCATGCCATGCCATGTAGCCGTGCCGGATGGCCGTGCCGTGCCAGCTAGCCGTGCCCGATAGCCATGGGGCAGCTCTGCCGGGGGGCTGTGTGGGGCTGGTGGCACAAATCGGTGTGGGGGGTAGAGGGGGGGTCCCACTCCGCGGCGACGTGGCGCAGGACGTGCCGTGGGGCTGCAGGATGGGGG